GCACCGAAAATGCCTGTACCCATACCAGCACAGAAACCAATGGAACAACGTGTTATTGAACCGATAGAACCGGTGAGTTGCCCACTCTAGTTAAAAAAAGATCACATGTAGCATGAGCGTTTATTAATTTCTTCACAATTTCCTTATTGTGCGATGGTGTACTAGTAACGACTCTTATGTCATGCCTACAGCAGATATGGACCACCAAAAAGCTCGTAGGAGTGGTCTCATGCGGAAGATGTTGCATTTACCTGTGGTAGTTGCTATAAACGTGCACGGACCAAAGTGAGTGTCCAATTCTGACCATCGACGATCGCGTCAGGACCCTCCATCTTTTTGTCGTGGTCTTACTCTTGGTACAGTGCTCAACGCTTTTTGCGAGTTGAACCAACAACAGCACCTAGCGCTATCCTAGTTCCCTTTCTGACGCTTGCCATTATTGATTTGTTTACTCAATTTTAACTGCTTCGGTTTATTTGTTTTTGATGACGAGCAGCTCTGAGTTGGCTAATTCTTCGAGTAGTATCGTGATGACTTCGGAGTTCGCGCTGGACATTTGATTGGGCTTACATTGAAGAATGGTGAAGATATATACAACGTTATCGCCGAAATTTTATAAACAGGTTGATTTTTCTCTAATGGTTAGTGGCTGTACTGAATCATGGACTACTTAGTTGAGTGTTAGAGTGATAGAAGCGAAAGGATGCAGGTTGGGAATCGAGACCTAACCAGACCTTTTCCTTGGCGGATTCCATGATTTCTTTCTGAAGCAGTATTTTCAGTAGGGATACGAAATACTCAGGGAACGGCTTATGAAGCGCAATGATTCCCTAGATCGAAACCAATTTTGTCACATTCCAGGGTGTGATTGTCGTCCTGAACGCGATAAAAGACCCCTGGCAGGTCCCATTCGCAAATAGCGATTAACACTTGTGTGACATCATAAAGGAAAAGGATATCGCTGGTTATTCTCCAAATTGCCAGTTCATACCGATGAATTACTGCGAAGAAGCTTTGTTAACTTATCAGTAGAAAATGTTCCGACAACAAAGTTCCCTTGAGTAATGCGTAGGCGCTCCTCTTCGCTCTTTTATTATGATCCCCGGAAGACACAGGTATATGAGGTGTGATGATATAGACACGTGGGTAAGGGTGCACCATCGCAGTGCTGGAACTCGCAGCGTCGCCGTGATTTGAGTGGTTTGAGGTCCTGACCGACGAGCCGTGACGTGCTACCGGCTGAATTAAATCGGGGCTTACTTCTGCCAACGCTGAAAAACTTTCCAACATCACCCATGAGAACCAATTTGTCGATGCTGCAAGTCCGAGAAGATTTACCAACTTATTGGTCTGACTATTCAATTCAGAAGGAAGGACAAGACTGAAGGAGAAACTTCTGAGCTCCTGTACTCGCCTATATGGCTCGGTAGCTGTTGGAACCACTAAATCCCAGGCTGGGAATCAACGAGAACAGTCTCTCAGTTAATTCATGGCTGGCACGATCAGAGGAAATTCAACGTACCGTCTAGATTCCACCCGACAGGCTCACTCCTTCTTACGTCTACACGACGTAACCGATGTAACTTCGTGTCAATAGCGTTTAATTTGGAATGGCTCCGGATGTGGTAGTAATGTAACAATAATATAGTGCTGTATTGTATTAATATCTATATGTAATGTGATGCAGCGGAAGCCTTAGGCAGGTTTTTCTGCATGTTTCCAGTTTGAAACGAGATTTAATTCGGCTTCGCCTGGATACCCACCGACCGACACATACACGTTCCACTACAGGGCGTTTTTTAGGATCGTAAACGATTTCGGAAGATTTCTTTGTGATGGTTGCACTTGATGTTGATCGTCGACGCCCTTTTGCAATGATTTCGATCCACTCTAAGGGCATCCGGTGTTCGTTCGATGATTGATCTGGGGCCTCAAGAAATGATCGCGACAAACAATAACAATGGGGGTCTAGGAGTGCCCCATCAAATTTCAACTTCTTACAAAAGATCTGCTAGCTGTTAGCCGATGCTCGTATCCCAGGTTAACATCCATGACGAACTGTAATAAAAAGAATAGAGGATGAAGCTTCGGCTGTTAATCAATCCCGTCTGAGTAATGCGCCCCGCATTTGACTTACATTAAGAATCGTAGTGGCGAATTGAATGCGTATGTGGCCTATACAATGACATGCGGGGACCAGCCGATGAAGTCAGTGATTTTACGCTCCCAGACAAGTCTGATCCCAATTGACCGACCTCGGAGGGATGGAAGGCTCCGTCATCTCAGGCGGATATCAATCCGGGATCCGAAGAAGTGACCATGCAGTGGCTTAGTGAGCCACTTGCCACTACACCAACTTCACCTCAGCGTCAGTTAATATGGAAATATTACTACATTCTCAATTCCAATTAGTTTGTTTGATTTTCATCAACTTCTAAATTTACTTCAATTTTTGTTTCTGTAATGATTTTATATGAATATTTTTACCACTAAAATG